GGTCTTTTTTCCAGGCTTCCGAGCTGGACATTCCATTCGCCGGCTAACACCTCCCCTATGGTACCATGCTGGGTACCAACAGCTGGAGAACCCTCAGAGTGGCTGGAACTATTTGGGAAGCGCTTGATTTCTGAAAGGGGAGACTGGCACAGGTTTGCTCACCCAGCAAAGGGCCTGGGCTAGAATGGGACCACCCTTGGAGGCCAGGCAGTCGCTGCCTCTCAGGCCCAGGCATCCTTGGGGGGGGGGATTTTTACGTAGAGCACAGAGAGTGGATGCAAACCAGTCCGCTAGTGTGGGCAAAGCCTCGGGGAGCTGCCATGGTCACCCGTGCCCTGCAGGAGCCAAGCGGGTAGGCTGAAGGCAGCCCCCCCCCAGAAGACCAGAGAGGGCCACGTGGCCAGAGGCAAGATCCGTCCCAGGGCACCACTGCCTCCCCCCCCTGCCCCGGAACCGCTTGACTGGTATGCTCTGGCTGCCCCCACAAGAAGCAGCAAAGAGGGGCTTCTCCAGGAGGACTCAGAGGTGGAGGAAGCCTCAGCAGGAGCAACTGCTGACTTTTAAAGAAGAGATTGGATTTATATCCCTTGCCCTGCACTCGGAGTCTCAGAGAGCGGCTTACAAACTCCTTTCCCTTCCCGTGAGGTAGGTGGGGCTGAGAGAGCTCTTTTGAGAACTACTCCTGAGAAAACAGCTCTGAGAGGACTTGTGACTGACCCAAGGTCACACCAGCAGTTCCATGTGGAGGAACGGGGAATCAGACCCGGTTCTCCCAGATTAGAGTCCGCGCTCCTCACCACTACACCAAACTGGCTCTTTTAGCATTTTGAACACAGCCGAGTCTTGGGCCATCTTAGAACGTTAATACATTTATTGCAGCAGAAGCTTTGGTGAACCAATGGCTGCTTTGTCAGCATGTAAAGAACAGACTTTTGGGGCCGATAATTTTTCCCGTTTGATTTTTAACAGCATGTCTAACAGCTTGAGATACTTCAGGGGTATGGAACAGGAAAAAGAGGATCCTCTTGAACTTTACCAACACACACTTAAAACGTCTGAGCCCAGAGTGACACCTGTAAGACCAGTGAAGTTTAATTCTGCGGATAAGTTTTCCTGTGCAGGTGCAAAAGGTGCCCGACTGGACTCACGCTCCGTTCTGTGGCTTCAGACCAACACAGCTGACCCACCTGAATCACACTTGAAGTGTGCAATGGCTGTGATTAAATCCCAAATCCTCCTGAGTCCTTGTTTTAAACACCTGGTCATTAGTTGACCCCTCAGTTGACCAAACAACTGCCCATAAACAGGACAGCCTGTGCAGGGGACTGGGTTGTGCACCATCATGGTTATCTGCTCTTTACAGCACCGGCCTGTAGAATTCACACAGGTAGACGTAAATGTTTTATTATTAAATGCTATTCAGCACATTTATATACCATCTCACAGTCCTACAATTCTCAAGGTGGTGGTGAAGGACAGATGCAACAAATACCCCCTCCCAACTGGCAGCAGCAACATTAACACAATAGAAACCATCAGCAGATACCGTTCGAAACATCTGGCTGCACTAAAAAGGAGATCAATGGCATACAATTAATTCAGGATTCATGGAGGTCAAGCAAGACTGCTGTGTAGTGGTGGGGGAGCATTTCACGATCGTGCCCCCTGTGAGCGTGTGGCCAGTTGCCCTGGAAAGGCAGTGCCCCCTTGTGAACACCCGCCGGTGGCTTTCCAGGCAGGAGCCGCACTCTGGCTTGTGCTGGGCCCTGCACTGCAGATGGAAACACTTGTGCCACGGCAGCCGAGGCCCAAAGCCCCTGCGGGCAGAGGTGCAAAGGGAGGTCCTGAATGGTCTCCTCTGGCCCACTCAGACCCAGTCGCACAGCAGTCTATTGGGGGGGGTTCAGGGGGGATGCAGCTGGCAAGTCACCCACAGACGGGGGGCAAAATTTGCAGCAAGCACCGGCAGGCAGAGAAACCTTGGAATGGTGCCCATGGCACGGGAGCAGCCCCGTGGGCGCCAGGGCTCCCAGGAAGACATGGAGTCTTGTGAGCAAAAGTTCTACTTTGTGAGGTCCTGGCATCGAAGTTGTGAGCGAGCGATTTGGCTGCTACATAAATTAAGTTTGCCCTGGAGCCCTCCTCCTTCCTGAGCTGAGACAAAAATGTGTGAGCTGGAAGCTAAAAAACTGTGAGCCAGCTCACACTGACTCAGCTTAGAGGGAACACTGGTGGGCACTGCCCTTTGTGCTTCTGCCCAGAGCCTGCCCCTCCTCCTCACACAGGAATGGCGAGTGTGGCCCTGGGACAGGAGGCGAGGGGTGCCAGGGAGCCCATGGGCCACAGCTGGCCATTTCTCCTCTTTTGCTGGAAACGGCCTCTGGATCCCAGGAAGGATCCCTGCAGGCGCGACAGAGAGATGGTGTGTGGCCCCCTCCCCCCCTGGCTGCACTCGTTCAGGGAGGCTGGAGGCAAAGAGAGCCGCTGTTCAGAAGGCAACCCCGCGCATGGCCTCGAGTCTCTACAGAAGCCTTTCCTGACCCTTCTCTCCATCTTCAGCTGACAGAGAAACATCCTCAGTACCCCTGGGGGCAAACCAGGCAGCCTGCCGGCCACACAAGGCAGCCACTGGCAATATGGGGTGGGGGGGGAGAGCACGATCTGGTTTACACATGAATGGTGCTCAGGATCAGGTAGAGAGCTGCATGGCCATCAGGAGCAATGCTCCCTCTAAGCTCTGGAGTCTTGTGAGCAAAAATCCTACTTTGTGAGCTACTGGCATTAAAGTCGTGAGTGAGCCATTTGGCTGCTGCATAAATCAGTTGGCTCTGGAGCCCTCCTTCCTGAGCGGAGACAAAAATGTGTGAGCCAGAGGCTAAAAAACTGTGAGCTAGCTCACACTCACTCAGCTTAGAGGGGACACTGCTCTGGAGTCAAGGAAGGCAAAGCACTGTGCATGAACGGTTAACTGGAAGTGACCAGTAGACAATCTTTTCCCCTTCGATGAAAGCAAATTTCCATAAAATACCAATGGCATGGAATGTTCCAGATTAAATGGGGTGCATCCTGCTCATCAGTATCTGTGGGAAATGCAGCCATAGCTGATTTCAAGCATGTTTTGGAAGTGCTCCAGTAGTGGTAACGTCAGAAAAGTGGTCTCCCTGAAATTGTCAAGAAATTCCAGACAATGCAAGGTGTTCTCCAGCAGGGCTCTTAACGCAGTCACATTCAGAAAATCCACAGGGGCCTGGTCCTTGATCTTTTGACTACAGCAAAAATGTTACTTGGCACAGAACCAGGAAAAGACAGAAAGTGTGAATATTAAGTCCCAGATAAACAAAGTCTGAGAGGAAGGAACATTATCTAAACTGGCGTGCATCACCTCGTTGAAGGTGCCGTCGCCTCCGACGCTCACCAGGCTGTGGAAAGTGGCAGAGGAGGGGGGAAGGAGGCCGGTTAAAATGGGGGTGGCTGGATCGAGCATCGAGACAACCTCCCCTTGCACCTAGGGTTATCCACTCCAGGTTGGGAAGTTCCTGGACCTCAGCGGAAGTACAATGCCATAGAGTCCACCCTCCAAAGCAGCCGTTTTCTCGAGGGCAGTGGTGAAGAAGAAGAGGGAGGAGGAGGGGGAGGAGGAGATTGGATTTATACCACCACCCTTCACTCAGAGTCTCGGAGCGGCGCGTGGGAGGCACTTTGGCCAAACTCCCAGACTGCCGCTTCACACCCACCCACCCACCAGCCACAAGAAAGCTCACCCAGTGTCGGCATCGGCCGGGAGGTTCCCCTGTCAGGCCAGTTCCTTGGCCAACTCCCCCCAAAGTCTGCATCCAAGCGCGAGGTCTGGGGAGGACAACACCGAAGGGAGAGGCCGAACAGCACCACTGGTGCCCAGAACTGCCCTCAGCAAGAGGCTCCTCCTCCTCCTCCTCCACCTGGGCCTCTGGATGCCCAGCCGGTTCTTCTGCACCTCCCTTTCAGAGGGAGAGAGTGGCAAAGCAAAGCCCCCCCCCAAGTCTGCATGCAAAGGCCCCACCCCAAGCCATGGCAGGGTAGGGTAGAAATATTTCAATAAACAACAGGGCAGGGGAGGCGCAGAGGGACTGGACAGGCCCTCCCCCTCCTCCACCCACTGAGGCTGCCACCTCTCCCCCCCTCCCCGGGGGGGGGGGTGGCGGCCCAACCCCACCCACAACCGCAAGACAGCTTCCCTTTAGGAACAGCCCCCCCCCCCGCAACACTGCTCATATCCAAAGCCACTGAGGGGCAGCCCTGAGGTTGTGCTCAGCCTCTGGCTTCCTCTGCATCAACCACCGAGGCAGGAGAGCCCACCCTCGGGCCGCAGGAAACAGGGAGTCTGCCCCCCCCCAGTTTGCCTGAAGAGCCCTAACCCTAACCCAAATGCTGAGGGGTAGCCACCGGCTGGGCCTCAACGCTCCGCCTGGCAAGCCGTCCTCAGGATCCTTGGCCCCGATATGCAGCACTACAGAGGAGGCCTCCTTTATAGCCACCACCACCTACTGATAATGAGCCACGTCCGGTCAGTGGAAGCCCCACTCTTTTATTAGCGGCAGCCAGAGAGAGACAGGCAGCAACCGCAGGGCAAAGCGACTGGCCACTCGCTCAGCGTCTGAAGCAAGGACGGGCAGGGCTACCTCTCAAGGGTACCCCACTGCCCCACAATCCCCCTCCAGCCTCTGGGGGCCTGGCAAACCACAGAAGTTGCCAGGTACACTCTCCCCGCCCCCCACCCCGCTTCTGTTGTGGTCCACGAGACTCCTGCAAAACTGGGGGGTTGAACCCAACCCCTAGAAACAAGATATGCCCCCTCTGGCTCCCGGGACCCACGCTGGCTGGCTCAAGTGACATGAAAATGCAACACAGCAGAACTCCACAGCAAAAGGCTGTCCGGAAATCCACATTTACTGTCCCCTCCTGGGCTGCTCTACTGAGAGACACTCCCTGTTGGGGGCAAGGGCGGGGGGGGGGCCCTTTGACCAGGCACCCCCCGTTTCTGCTCACACACACACACAGGGGCCACAAAGCAGACTCCACACCCCAAGGGAGGAGAACCAGGCGGGGCCCTCCTTGGCCTCAGGACTGCAAGGGGGGAGGGTCCAGAAGAGCCACGTGGAGACGGGTGTGTGTGTGTGGGGGGGGGTTGTGTGGGGTGTGTGTCTCCAAGCCCTTCCTGAGCCAAATAGACAGAGGCCCCAATCCGGTGACCCCCTTTTCTCCATCATCCGGCAGGCATGGAGGCAACCGAGCGCCAGCCCTTGGGCGGGGTTGGGGGGAGCTGACAGACAGGAGGGCCCCTCCAGGCCAACGCAGGAAGCCGAGGCCACCAGGCGTCCCAGGCAGGCAGGCAGGCAGGCAGGCAGGCAGGCAGGCAGGCTTCCCAAATGACGACTGCGGCCCGGGCCGGCCAGGCTGCTCGCTCACTGTGGGCGCAGAACGGCCTGGAGATCCTCCGGCAAGGCCCCGAGGATGGTGGTGATGTGCTGGCCCACCCGCTGGACCGTCTCCTCCTTCACAGGCAGGCGGTGGTGCCCGGCTTGCACCTGCAAGGGGAGGCCAAGCCCAGAGTGGGGCGCGGAAGGAGGGCAGGGCAGGGCAGGGCAGGGCAAATCCTCCTGGGACTGTCTCTGCCCCTTCGGACAACCCACCACCGGTCTCCCGGGGCCCACCCAGGAGGGCTTCACAACAAGCCCCCTCCCTCCCTCCCTCCCTCCCTGGGCCGTCCTTCTCTGCAGGCACATCCCAGCAGACAGGCCGAAGCCTCGCCGAGGGACGGGGGTGGTGGCTCCGCGCTGCACACCCTCCATGCACAGGAGGAGAGGGACACTGTAGGGCTGAGACTGGAGCCCTCGGCGGTCTCGCACCCCCCCCCCCCCCCCCCCGCCGGTAACTGGGGTTCCCAGGAGGCCACAGGAAGGCAGAGTCCTGCTACACAGAGGGCTGGCTCCACAAACCTGTTCCTGGACTGCACCCCATCAGGGCACCCCGGGTGGGTCCATGCCAAGGAGAGCTCTCCCACTGGGGAGCAGAACTGAGGGTGGAGGCCTGAACAGAATCAGCACAGCTCCGGCCGATCGAGTCACCCCAGGGGATGCAGTGCAGTCAGCCCGGTTGGTGTGGTGGTGGTGGGGTGGGGTGTGTGTGTGTGTGGGGGGGGGAGGCAGCTTACCAGCTTCTCCCGGAGTTTCAGCACCAGGTCAACGACCTCCACCTCGGACTTGTGCTTCATCCAGGTCCCGATGTTCTGCAGGGAGAGCAGGCCCCTCAGAAGGAAGGAGAGCCCCCCCCGCCCCCTCTGCCTCTCACTCCAAGGCCGGGGGCGGGGCAGGGAGTGTGGAGCCACTAAGGCCTGGAGGGCCACTCGCCACAGTGCCCGAGACCTGCGGAGATGGTCTGGCTGGCTGGCCGGCTGGGCCTGGAGCTCAGCGGGTGCGAGGCTCAAAGCTCCCTGTCTTTGCAAGCCCCGCTGCTTACCCAGGAGTGACACCAGAGGCCCTGCGGAGGCCCTCCGGCCTTGTCCACACACAGATGGACCACGGGAATCCCAGGGCAATGCAAAGGGATCGTGCCGGATTGGTCAGCCCCCCCCCC